TTGTGCTCCATCATGCTAGACGACCTGAGGGATCTTAGAGATTCGGGAGCCGACAAAGAGAATGGTGGTCGCTAACTACCCTGAATGGGCAGCCATACAAGTAAGAGCGGAACTTTGTATGGTCAAGACTATTCTTCGAGCTTTTCGGTCGTAGAATAGTTCTTCTCCGCTGGGGATAACGTTCTGCTCCCATAAGCAACCACGTGCTCTACGTCATTATGCCACTGAACTAACACCACTCCTAGTCCAAGGTTGCTGGCATCTGTGTGTAACTCTGTGTCGGCGCTTTCGTCAAAATGACCCAGTACAGCTGGAGCCTGGAGAAGGTTTCGGAGGGTGTGGAACGCATGGCACTGGTCTGGACCCCAAACAAATTTGACACCGTGTTTTTGCATTTGACACCGTGTTCGAAAAGTTTTTGACAAAGCACCGTTAGTACGCCGACAGAGCCCCCAAAATCGGCGTAGGTTGCGCTTATTTGGGAACACAAGGAAGGCGGCAACGGCGCCGTTTTCCTCCGGATCTAGGTGTATGCCGGCATGGCTCAAAACAAGACAAAGGAACTTGAGTTCTTCGTATCTAAAATGGCATTTCTCGGGTTTAAGGAAAATCCCCGCTGTTCTAATTGCCTGAAGAACTGCCTGAAGGCATTGGACGTGTTGTGTGAACGTGTCTGCAAAAACCACGATGCCATGAAGGTAAACAAGACATGATTTTCATTTACTCCGTGTGAGACCGTACCCATCATTCTTTGGAAAGTATCTGGCGCTTGGCATAGGCCGAAAGGCAACGCTTTATACTCGTACAGGTGGTCGGGTACAATAAAAGCCGTTTTTTCGTGATCACGCTCGTCCACTGCGATTTGCCAGTAGTCCGCTATGCAAATCCATGGAAGAAAAGTTTTTGAAATTGCGTACATGGTCCAGTGAGTAATCTATCCGGGGTAAAAGACAAACGTCCTTTTTGGTGATCTTGTTTAATTTACGGTAATCAACGCATAAGCACAACGTACCATTCTTCTTTACTAACCCAACTGGCGAAGCCCAGGAACTGGACGATGGCTGGATGACGTCGTGCTCAAGCATCTCCTGGACTTAGTCACCTTTTGCGACGCCCTATAGGCTTGTTGTCGGGTGGGTCTCTTGGTGGGTTCCCTAATGATACGATGCTGAGCAAGTGGCGTCTGTTTAACCTTTGACGTAGTTGCAAAGCATTCTTGAATGAGCTGAGCATATGCAGAAGGCTTTCTTATTGTGCTGAAGGTAGACCCTCGTTTACGTTGAGCGTGCTCGCGAAGGTCTCGTCAGGGTAGTTATTCCACGAAAGTGAAGCTAACGTGGACGAACCTTGGGCATCGACAAGTTCTTTAAAATATGCAATTGCAGTGTTTCTCGTAAGGTGGGGATATTCTTCGCTGAAGTTCGTGACTAGCAGATGAGCATGTCTGTTGCTAGGCCTAATGATTCCTCGGGCAGCGCAGATTTGTCTTGAAATAAGGAGAAACAATTGGGCCTCAATAATTATAGTGTCACACACGTCATGTCCTGATTCCACTTTGACATAGAGTCTGCTTTCGAAGCTGGCGAGTCGGAGAGTCTTCGGTACCATGGAGTGCTCTCTTTGGGAATTTCGTAGGTCAGTTGCAGCACTAAAAGGATCCTCGAACGAGGCAAGTGGTTCACGGAGGTCGATGAGTGCACCGTATTCACGAAGGAAGTCCGTCCCCAGTATGATAGGCGGAGAGCACACGCGCAATACGAGAAAAGACCCTGTAAATGCCGACATACGGATTCAAATGCGCACCGGGCACATACCAGTAAGCATCAACAGATGACCACCTGCCGTGCGCAATAGGGGTTTTTGCCACGGTTTGGTAACCTTTCTCAGTTCAGATGCCAGTGTCGTGCTCATTACGGAATAGTCGGCGCCGGTGTCGACGAAGGCGTTAACAGCATGATTGCCGAAGAAGACGGTGGTTTCGGCAGAAATGATCCCTCTGCTGTCAGAGAACAATGAAAAACCAGAATGCTCTTCTTCAAGTCCTTGCGTCGAACAGAGGTCCTTAACAGTTTGTCGGACCATGACTTCACCCCCAGAATTCACCATTTCTAGTTTCCTCTGCGGGGACTTTATGACTGGCTCCTAAAGGAGCGGAAGACAATGAGGGCAAACTGGGTGAGGCTAGGGTGAACTTGATTGGTGGCGCTAAATAGTAGAAGGAGTTCGCTGGCCCGTAAGATAGGCTTCAATTTTAGGGGGACACTCATTGTAGCGTGGGCATCAAACATCAAGGTGGAAGTCACGGAGACAAAGGTGGCCGGTATTGGCAATTCCGGAACACGTGGCGTGGCCCGCTATGCCCCAGTGATAGCAGAGCAGATGGTTATCCGAGGTGCACCACGTGCTTGCCTAGCTAGCACTTTGTCTTGAGGCAGACAGCAGACAGGAGCGTGCGCTTGGAAACCGTGAGCCGAGAGGCAGACTTGAAGCAGTGTCCTGGAATGGGGGCTAGCCTAGTACATTGTCCGCATACGGGGAGCTGTAGCCAGTGGCGCAGGGGATCGCGATGCCGCGGCATATGTGAGGACTGGGGTCTCGGGTATTGGTGGTGCGATTGGCACCAGTGGTGCGGCTGCCTGTCAGACTTCTTGTCTGATTACATCCGCGAGAGCTGGTACAGGTAGATGGGAATCCGACTGCCTAAATTTGTCACAATTCATCTTGCATGATACTTCGACTGAAGTTTGCGAGGGCTTGTCTCTCGTTGTCAGAGCCGATAGATCATGCCGTGGCCGGAATGTGGCGTTTGTATTGTGACGACCGCTGCTGCAGAGTGCTCTCCATCGTGGTTGCCTCACTTATGAACTCGACAACGGTCGTCGGTAAATTGCGCTAGAGTCCAGTGAAAAGTAGTTCTTTTTTTTTGCACGCATAAAATACCGTATTTTCTTTTCCTCAGACATGCCAGCTGGGGTCCACACGCCTGAAGAGCCGAAGCATGTCCTCGGCAAACACGGAAAAGCGTTCATTCAGCTGCTGGTTCCTGCAGGTTATGGCTTGTTCAGTCCTCTCCTTCTTTTAGGGTTTATGTAGGCGACGTGGAACTGTCAGCTAAACTCTTGCCACGTCGCAAACGAGCCCTCATGGTTTTCGCACCACGTCTTCCCAGAATCTTACCAGTAGAAGTAAACTCGGCGCAGCTTGTAAACATCGTCCCATTCAATGATACTGGCAACCCCAGCAAAGTATCAGAGCCAGTCATCAACATATTCGAAGCTGTCTCCATGGAATGGTTTTGGTGTCTGTGGCGCATGAAAAACATGCGAGCTAGAAGAACCAGGGGCATCACTTGTTTGGACCTCTTGGCTGGTCGTCGGAGCTGTCATTTCTCTGGGTGTCGATGCCAAGGGACTAAATTCAGGGTGTAACCCACGCAGGCTGTGGCTGCTTCTTGCTCTGGGTGATGTAGCTGTCTCCAAGATGGTTGACACATTCAAAGTACACGTATTCAGCACCTCCACCAGTAATATCACGAGCAAAATAGGGCCGACAGCCAGGAGTTTACTTGGAACCAGAGCAACAGAAACGTTCTCTCCTTTTTCCCAGCCAAAACAAGTCTGAGCCACGGCGGCTCGTTCTTTAATAGTAGCATGCGTCAACATGATGTCACTGACGGCAAAACGAGAAAAGTTACAAAACTTAGGCGCCACTACATCGTCTACGGTCCGTAAGGCAACTATCACGCGTGTTTGGCAAACGCTTCCTTAGTTCGGCGTGCGAATTTCAGTTCTTTGTGGGCCTGCATGTACGATATATGTGGTAAGTGATGTTTTGTGTCTGCATTCTATTCCTCGGGTATAACACCCCTGTCTGTTGTCTTTTTCGGGTGTAACCTGAACAGTTCCGAAATACTCGCAGCTATTAGCCTTTGTCTCGATATCAAAGTATTCTAGCTAGCGTGTGCTGGTTTGCGGCACTGAATCTGCGCTAATCCCGGGACTATCAGTGCATGGTAAGCTGCACGTCGTGCGAATCATTGTTCATATTTGACGTAAATTTTTATAGACCCTACTGACACGTTTTCAAGCGCCAATATTTGCAAACTTACGCACTTTACATGACAGTGTTAAAAAGAATCAGTTCGTCCGTTAACTATGACGTTAGCACTTTTCCAGATAGCGGCAGCCACATGCTGGAGAGATGCCACTCTCTAGAAGTGTAATGCGCTCCCACGCATGCACATAGCTAAACAGGCGAGCTATATACTTCATCGTAGATAAATGGCTATTGTATTTGGCTTGCAGATGCGTTTTATTCGAAGCTGTCGTTGCGCGATAGCAGTGAGTAACATGTGCACGCAGCAAAGCTTCCACGGACATCGTACCACTATCACGGCGTGTTCACCTTTCCACTGAGCTTGCGCTTTTCGCCGAGCTTTCTTACTCCACGATGGCAGGACTGGCATGCTTTGCGCAACATCGGGTTTTCCTCAACTTTTGCCACTAGTGAAGGCAGACTGCTAAGTTGGGTTTCAGTTTCGGCGTAGCACATTCTTGCTTATTTAAAATATTGTGCAATTCGCCATGTATTTCTACTGGCGTCCCATGAAGTCAGCGTCTAAGGAACATGGTTAAAAATTGCTGGAGCTGGCCTTCAAGGATGCGTTGTAGAAATCAAGAATTAGAAATACGCATGGACATAGGTTTACACATGGGCAAGGCATAGGTGGCTACGCATGATAACCACTCTTAACTAAAAGTAACAGACTGGATTCTAAGAGAAGGCAAAGTGCAAGGGGGGGAGGTGAGCAGATGAAATTAAAATCTTGCGAGTGTAAGATGACCACAGCCAGATGACTGTCTAAGAGGACCACAGCCTTTGTGGCATTGGAAAGGCTCGGTGCCTCGCTGAAATGATTGGGGGATGGCCGCCACCCCCGCCGCTCCCCTTCCCGAGATTTATGAGCACGCCCATGCATAAACCATACTTGTAACTCGTACCAAGACCTCCGGCGTGGCCGTCGATGATCGAAGTGGCCACAGGTGTGCCTTTCTCAAGTCCTAGCTCCATAGCGACCTCCGTGCTCAGACCGCTTCCGCAGGGGGCGCCTGGCGGCAGGACTTCCTGGCCTGCGCTCACAACCGTAATACGTCAGAGCATCCTACTGCAGATCCGTAACTAGGATTTTTCGGGAGGAGAGGGTACTTGCTGTGTGATTTGAATATTTGAAAAAAACACTTAGATTATATTTAATGCAACACCGCCTCTATCGAAAGTGAGGGGGAGGGGACTGAGGCCTGTTATGCCCCCCTTCTGGTTATGGGCCATCAAAACTACCATATATGCTGACTGGATCAGCCTCAATATGGAACATTGATCACGGCAGAAACCCTAAAGACAGGACTCCAGAACAGTTCTGGCAAACAGGTGTGATTCACTAACGTGTGTGCGAACAACTGCTGCGCAAAGGCGTTGGCAATTCAAGCTACATCTGGTACGCTACACATGCAGCTACGCCTTAATGACTAAGCGCAAGCCAGGCACGGGTGATCAGACACTTCACGCAAGCGCTGGATTTGTGTATTACGTGCATTTCTCGTGCGTCTACGCTTCGCAATTTCTGGGTGCACGTGCTTGTGAATAAAGTGTGAACAATTAGGAAGATGAACGCTTTTGTCTTGGCCACTTTAGAAAGAGGCAATTTTTTTAGGGAATCAAACAGTTGGCTTTGTGATCACCAGTTCAACACTCCAGCCATTGTTTCATTTCAAGTGATGCAGATGCTTATGCTCACCTATTATCCTGTAGTCATCACGCGTGATCTCGTCGAGACCTATGCGAGTCCAGATGGAGTCCTGCCAGCCATGTTTCTTATCAGAGCCGGGCACCGTACATGCCTGGTACGTCCACTTGCACACGGCCGCGCAAAGGGAGCGCGACGCGCAGCCAGTGGCTCGCCACGTGAGGAAGTCGGACAAGTCCATGGCCAGACCGATGCGCTCCCAGGTCGAGGGAATGTTCTGCGCAGGACACAGCTCCTTCTCGGTAAGCTATTGATGATACCTACGAATGACTTGTATAAACTACTTTAGACACAATAGTTGGACTCTATATTACGTGCAACAAATGCATGTACTACTCGGGAACATAAAACATTACCTGCATGTGTGACGGCGCAGAACGACAGATTCTGAGAGCAGCACAACACTCGCAACAAGACTTTACCTTCACGCTTCGATATCTTTCTTTTCCTTGCGAAAACAGTGCTTAGGTGATCCAGAACACCAAAACACTGCTGGCGTTTTTTAGCAGTACTCGCCTTCACGAAGCTTTATAGTGCATTTTATATATATACAGGGTGCAGCAGCTATCTTTAGCCAGAATTTTAAAATGTGCCGACACACGCAATGACAACGCGACCAAAAAGCATGTTGCTGAACATTGCGTGGAATGAGTCAGACTATTTTTAGTGTTCTGATTCATTATTAACTAGGTCCCTTTAATCGCCTAACTTTTGTAGAAACAAAGGGGGGAAATATTCCAACAAAGGTTGTAGATCGGTTTGCAAAACATTCGTCTAGACAGTTTCTAACTTTATATCTGTTATTTACTAGTGTTTAATGCTAACTGCAGACGCCAGCGGAAAAAAATACCATGTCATAAACCCCATGGCGTGCCGGGGTCCGAGCCGGGTTATACCGGGGTCCACCATGGCTTCGCGGACGTATGTTTGTCACAGATAAGACGTCGTAACTACCCTGGAGTCTAACATTCCGCGTATGAACAATGCGCTTCCCTCGCACTGGGTCATGACAACGATAAGCAGTCACATCGATTATAACCTTTGAGACCCATAGCAAAACGTGTTCACTAAGCCACCCACATCATCATGGCCCTGTCGAGACGACATAACCGGCAAACGCTACGATCTTTCGTGCGGGGAACGTTAGGGAGCACGAGAATCACCGTGCACGAGAATCACTGGCGCATGAACGGGCTTTTAACATGGTATTTTTTTGTATTTCGCGGGAATTCTAAGTTAGCGGAAAAACACTAAATTTAGCATATATAAACTCTGAAGCTGTTTAGTGGGACGTTTTGCAATCGCATGAGCAACTTTGTCATTAGAACATGTAGCCCGTCTTTTCTGTTTACAAAGTTAGTTATTAAAGGTAGCCTAATAATGCAACTAATCGGGACACGACAAATAGAGTCACTCTAGGCAACGGTTAGCAACATTCATTTGATGGCGTCGTTATTGTATGTGTCGGCATGTTTTAAAACTCTGGCTGCACTCTGTATATGTGTGTACGCGCATGTGCGTTCACGTGTGACTGCGTTTTATTTGCGTGTGTATCTGATCCCTGTCACAGACGGGCGCATGACCCAGAAAAGGGAAGAGACGCCTCGCTGCCCATAGCTTTACTCAATTAATGCCGTGCCACGCAGGCGTATGACCATAGTGGTGTCCGAAGACCCCCTTTGTTGCATGCCAAGAACTGTATACTTTTATTCTTCATTTCGAAAATGCCAGAGACCAAATGCCAGGCCATTGGCACAATGATGTAACGCTAATTTTGATGTATTTTTTTTCTTCCACTGTGCAGCACGTCGTCCGTTGGACTCCACGAACTGAGTGTGGAGGAAACGGAGGAGTGGAGGGCCTCTGCGATGGTACGGTGGTCTCTCTCTCAAAAAAGGGAAATCCTGCGCACGCTTACCATCATTGTACATGGTCGTCTTTTATGAGAGGGAACGCGCGAGCGCGTGGCCTGCGCTTTGTGGCAGCTGCCTACAACCGAAACTGAAGAAAGCATGTCCACTTTTGTCGTCATCTATTCGCAAAACAAATAAAGAGTCATGGCCGTCGGATAAGCGCTGCTACATTACACTACCGCTCCTTCGCAGCGTACTATGCCGCCTAGAGCGAACTTGTTTTCTTATATGTCGGTTGATGCTGCTGTAGGCAGTAGACGCAGAGCGCTGGCCAAGCACTCGCTTGTTCCCTTTCATATTAGACAACAGTGCACATACCGCAGTCAAAACCTGACAGCTAGAGTAGCAAGCAAGACGATAAAGCTGGCTAATCTTTCCAGGGATTACAGATGTTTTGTCTATCTGTCTCTCCATACATCTATATATCTGTCCGCCTGTCTGTCTGTCTCCAGAAAAGCTTTCTGTTTCGCTTAAAAACTTAATTGTAGATGACTTCGCAATCGTGTGGCACAGGTAACAATAGATGTTGTTATTAAATGCGCAGGATTCAATCGTGTACTGCTGACACTATGAGCGTATATATCTATCTATCTATCTATCTCTCTATCTATCTATCTATCTATCTATCTATCTATCTATCTATCTATCTATCTATCTATCTATCTATCTATCTATCTATCGATCGATCGATCGATCGATCCGCCCACGTCCGGGCGCTTTTTTATCTCCTTTTTTTAACTTCGGGTAGACCAAAATATGTATGCGAGAATAAGATGGTTTGACGCACATCTCTCGCCGGTCCTGAAATGAATAAAGTGGCAATCCTGTCGTGTTCGTCGTCGAACCCTTTTCTGTCGACACCTACGGCACTGTGAGGGATAAGGTTCGGGTAATCACGGCAACTTAAATAATCGTTGTCGAGACTGACGAAGACATTTGCAACTTGAGTTATAAGGCTTTAATGCCACAACAAAAAAGAAAAAAACGATAATGAAGCTTGGCGTGTTACATGGCAACAGCGAAGAACTGCCTTAGGTACGAGCATGACACACGTTCTCGAAAGACAAGGTCTGACGCTTAGCGTAGCCCCACTGCACTACACAAGGTTGAAACACTTCACCGTGTGACGTCGAAGGCAGATGAGTCGATGCGTTGCGCTGCGTCTTACGCCGACATCAGCGATGACTCAGGCATGGTCGGAGCGGAGCGTGAGGCAGAGTCGATGTGTGGCAAGCACGTCCCGGACAGCCAGTAGTAGGCCCAGGTCTGGAAAACGCCCGGATCCGAGTACAACGGACCGGCGCCGGCTGCTGGATCACACGGTAGAAGGGAGCCAGGCTCGTGCGGACCACAGGCACAGGTAGGCTTCGCGACACGACCCGACGAGCGCTTCAGCCTGCCACTGTTCCGTTCGGATCCTTCTTCTCGAACGCCCCGTCGTCGTCTTCTTCTTCTCTCCCCATGGCTGGCTTGACTTGACGACACGATTCCGCCTTTTCCTTGTCTCATCGTCATCTTCGTCGGCGTACGGCACAGCACAAACTCACAAACATCGCGCACCAGATGAACCTACCGCGCATATCATGACAAAAGTCCCCCCTTTCAAAAGTTTTTTTTTTTTTTAAAAAAAAACTGTCCAAAGTGCGCGGGAGACAAGACTTACGACAAACAAATGTACAGAACTGTTGCACCAAGAGAATAGTCTGTATGTGAGAGTCCCTAGGCATATGGTACATTATTACATTAATGTTTATAGCTAGCACCTACACCTGTAGCCTGCTCATATAATCAGCACCTACGTTCTCTGATCCTTTGATATGCTCAACGCGAAAGGTGTTACGAGATCAGAACACGGGTCGTGCGTAGAGCCGGGTCGCCGCCACCACCGCCACTTGTAATTAGTATCGAACAAAAAAAAAACTCGGTAAGTTAAAAATATCAATGACACAATGAGAGTCCAATCCGGGTCCGCTGCGTGCCAACCCAGCATTCTACTACTGAGCCGCGCCAGCGCTGAAAATTGTTTCCTCTGCGTGCCAACCCAGCATTCTACCACTGAGCCGCGCCAGCGCTGAAAATTGTTTCTAAACTGGTTTTAGGCAGGCTTGATGTCTGGAAACGAGTCGCATTAATATGAGTAATAAAGCGTTTTAGACCATCAAGGAACAGCGAGGCATCACACAATGCGAATTTCGTGACGACTTGGTCGTCCAACGCTCCCATCCATTAAAAAAACTTGTTCTTGATCAGCTATTAACTGTGGTGCATAACCACTTCACGCATATTTCTTCATCGTCATCAGCCACTGCATAAAAAGATGCACTAAACTTCAAACAAGTGTGTAGCGAATACCGCGTACGATTCTCCAATGAATAACGAAGGATAGCATAGTGAATGCTGGCCTACTACAGAAAATGTATGATTATTTATGGCACTGTGGGTACCCAGCAATGCTCTTGTAGCATCCCAAAGAGTTTTTAGAGAAGGCTTTGAAAGACCACTCTCCCAGCTTTCGCTGTGACTGTTCTGCGCGTTCCTTGCAGGTCTGGCGTGTTCTTTTTTTTTTTACACGCTTGAAACGCCAAATGTCCAAGAAAATTAAAGCAGATGTGCATTAAAGCCCTTTCTACGTTCGTTCGCCTACTAAAAATATCAAACAGGTGCTTTTGTAGCAATAACGAAACGCACGGCAAGCATCACGGCGCTTCAAAACAGGCGCCGCCTCCTTCTGCCCTGAGCAATATGGCCGCCGCGGCTTCACTTCGAGACATGGGCGGGTATGCGGGACCGCCACTCCAGAAGATTTAGTATAACCTCCTTGGCGATGGTACGGTGGTCTCTCTCTCAAAAAAGGGAAATCCTGCGCACGCTTACCATCATTGTACATGGTCGTCTTTTATGAGAGGGAATGCGCGAGCGCGTGGCCTGCGCTTTGTGGCAGCTGCCTACAACCGAAACTGAAGAAAGCATGTCCACTTTTGTCGTCATCTATTCGCAAAACAAATAAAGAGTCATGGCCGTCGGATAAGCGCTGCTACATTACACTACCGCTCCTTCGCAGCGTACTATGCCGCCTAGAGCGAACTTGTTTTCTTATATGTCGGTTGATGCTGCTGTAGGCAGTAGACGCAGAGCGCTGGCCAAGCACTCGCTTGTTCCCTTTCATATTAGACAACAGTGCACATACCGCAGTCAAAACCTGACAGCTAGAGTAGCAAGCAAGACGATAAAGCTGGCTAACCTTTCCAGGGATTACAGATGTTTTGTCTATCTGTCTCTTCATATATCTATATATCTGTCCGCC